AGTTAGAGGAGAGACCCGGCTGGGGCCCTGTCGTGAAGCCACCTGTGCCATTCCCTTAGTGATAACACAAAGAATACATAACAGAAAAACATCTGGAGTTAATCAGTCTAATCAGGAAAATCTAATTCTTGTTCCGTGTAAGAATCAGCCGACCACAACCGCTGATCCTGAAACTTTGAAACTTGCTATGCTAAATGTCAGATCTCTTTGTAAGTCTTTTTTAATCAATAATTTTATTTGTTCTTATAATCTAGATCTTATGTTCATGGCTGAAACATGGCTTGACCAAAATACAGAAAATGCAGTTTTAATAGAAGCATCACCACCAAATTTCAAATTTGAATCTGAAATACGGGAAAACAAAAAAGGAGGAGGCTTAGCTGCCATTTTCAGAGACCACTTTGTCTCCCATAGAATGTCTCTTGGGAAGTTTCCGTCTTTTGAATATGTGTCTTTTAAAATACAACAAAAACAATCTCCTCCAATACTTTTCGTTGTCCTATACAAGCCACCGCAGTCATGTCACAGTTTTATTGATAATTTTACAGAGTTGCTTTCAGTTGTATGCACAGATTTTGATAGTTTAGTTATTACAGGTGATTTTAATATTCATGTGGATAATGTTGATGACAGAAATGCTAAAGAGCTGAGTTCTCTTCTTGAATCTTTTGGTCTCACTCAGCATGTGAGTGGCCCCACCCACAGCAGAGGGCACACTCTAGACCTGTTAGTTACAAAGGGGGCGAACATTTATAATGTAAACGTGGTCGATGTTGCGCTTTTGGATCATTTTTGTATATTTTTTGACATGTGTTTCACTAACAAACCACCAGTGGACTCTGCAACTGTACGAAGAAGACACATAAATGAAAATACGGGTGAACTATTTATGGGAATGATAAACTTTGAGAATGCATCGTATTCTACTGTAGATGAACTGTTTAACTCTGTCACCTCTAGTGTTTTGAAAGTTCTGGACACCATCGCTCCTGTGAAGGTTAAAATAGTGAAAAATAAGCAGAAGGCGCCGTGGGCTAAAGCAGACTCGGTCAGAGCACAAAAGAGAGAGTGCCGGAGGGCCGAGCGGAAGTGGCGCAAGTCCAACCTCCAGGTTGATTACAAGATCTTCAAAGATAAGTTGTGCGAGTTTAACCAGGTGCTACGTAGTACAAGAGAAAGGTATTTTTCTGAAATGATTGAAGGCTGCAGCAACAATCTGCGTGTTCTGTTTTCAACAGTTAATAGATTAACAAACCCCCCTGTTCAAATGCCATTAGAGCTAACTTCCAAACGTAAATGTAATGAGTTTGCACATTTTTTCAATGACAAGGTTCAAGGCATCAAAAACGCCATTGTCTCCAATCCACAGATAACAATCCAACAGCCAGAAAGGCTCTTTGAGCTAACTTACTTTGCACCTGTAAATGATCAAACTGTCCAAGAGATAATCTCCAGTTTGAGCTCCTCCACATGCAGCCTGGATGTACTACCCACTAGATTTCTAAAGTCTGTTCTGAGCAGTCTGTTACCTTCACTCACACAGATAGTAAACATGTCCCTTGATTCTGGAATATTCCCAAAGGCCCTGAAAACTGCAGTCATCAGGCCCCTGCTAAAAAAGAGCAGTCTGGATGCTACGGTACTTAACAACTATCGTCCCATCTCAAATCTGCCATTTATGGGGAAAGTCCTTGAGAAAGTTGTCTACCTACAGCTTACTAGATTTCTTATAATCAACAACTCTTTGATATGTTTCAGTCCGGCTTTAGACCCCACCACAGCACTGAGACTGCTCTCGTTAAGGTTACAAACGATATCCGGCTGAACACTGACGCAGGCAAAGTCTCAATCCTAATCCTGTTAGATCTAAGTGCTGCCTTTGATACTGTCGACCATGAGATCCTCTTACAGAGACTAGAGGACTGGGTTGGCGTCGCTGGCACCGCCCTAAGTTGGTTTAGGTCTTACCTTGAAGACAGGAAGTACTTTGTGGAGATTGGAAACTGTGTCTCAGATCATATGGCCCTGACCTGTGGAGTACCACAGGGGTCGATCCTGGGACCTCTTCTGTTCAATCTCTACATGCTGCCGTTAGGTCAGTTAATACGCAGAAACAAAGTTTCCTATCATAACTATGCAGACGACACTCAGATCTATGTCTCACTGACTGCAGGAGAACATGGACCAGTGGACTCACTCCTTCACTGTATCCAACAGATCAGTGAGTGGATGCAAAACAACTTCCTTCAGCTAAACGCAGACAAAACTGAAATGATTGTCTTTGGTCCCCAGAAACAAAGAGAGAGCGTCATCTGTCACCTACAGTCTCTCTCCCTAAAACCTTCAAACAAGGTCAGAAATCTAGGGGTAATACTGGACTCAGACTTAAATTTTAATAGCCACATCAAATCAGTAACATCAGCAGCTTTTTACCATCTAAAAAACATTGCCAGGATCAAAAACATAGTGTCTAAAGCAGACTTGGAGATTCTTATCCATGCATTTGTCTCCAGTAGGTTAGACTACTGCAATGGCCTGCTCACAGGTCTGTCCAAACAGGCTGTAAAACAGCTGCAGTACATTCAAAATGCAGCAGCTCGAGTCCTGACTAGAACCAGGAAGTACGACCATATTAGTCCGGTCCTCAGGTCTCTGCACTGGCTTCCTGTGGCTCAGAGAATAGACTTTAAAACAGCTCTGCTTGTGTACAAATCTCTCCATGGCCTCGCACAAAATATATTAGTGACATGTTAGTCCCATATGAACCAGCCCGGACTCTGAGGAGCACAGGGACTGGACTCCTGTTAGTGCCCAGAGTCAGAACTAAACATGGGGAGGCTGCTTTTCAGATTCATGCTGCTAAAATCTGGAACAATCTTCCTGAAGATGTGAGACAGGCCTCCTCTCTGACAATGTTTAAAACCAGGTTAAAAACGGTGCTGTTTAGCTGTGCATACAACTGAGGGATTTTATATTTTTATCTTTCGTTTTAATGTTCTGTAATTATTTATGATTTTAATGCTATCTTGTTCAGCACTTTGAGTTGCCTTGTGTATGAATTGTGCTATACAAATAAACTTGCCTTGCCTTGCCTTGCCTTGCCTCAAATGTTCAGAAAATATAAAAAAAAGTTAAGCCGATTGATTTTTTTTTAACTTGCTCAGATAAACCATCCTTAAAATGACCCAACAAAGCAAATACTGAAATCCTGTCTTTATCAAAGCCAGCAGTGGAGTTGACGCTTCACTTTCCCGCTCAGACTCATCAGTGGAGGTTGGAGGGAGTGGTTTTAATCTCCCTCCGACTCTGACCTTAATAACATGAGGCCGGTCCAGGAGCACTGGGCCGATCCAAACTGCTCTGGACTATAATATGCTGTGATTAATATATTCACTGTAGCACTTTGGGGACTGGCCCACATAGAAATAAGCACATCCCCAAGAAGACTAGAATAGAACCAGAATAGTACAGCCACAGCCTAAAAAAGCATTGTTCTTTTTAAGTAAATAAGACCCTAACTCTTACCCATAATGCTCAGGAAATAAGGCATATACTGTAGTTTAGATGTAGCTACAAAGTGATGGATATTTTACAACAAAAGGCGTCAATTTTTAGTCTCGGAATGATAAATTGACAACATGGGTGTATTGTGGATGGAAAGGTGGAGCTACTGTCAAAATCAATTCTGTTCCTCTTAATAATCAATTACTTATCCAAGGTGCTTCTGGAACCCGTTGTCTGTCAACAAGCTTGTGTTGCCTCATTGTCCTTGCTCTGCGTTTTCTTTTCCATATGGACCAATCAAAGCCTGATGAAGTATCCAATCAACACGATCTCTCCGTGTCAGAGGCTCATAATCTGATTTCAGATTATAATCCTCCTCACATGCCTGTCATGGATTTGGGCAAAGGCCAAGAATTTACCTTGTTTTTATCGGAGGGCTTCCTGAAATCAGTGATTCCAACAGGAACTGAGGAAACTAAAGTGTTGTGTTTTCTTAAAGGTTATCAACAAGAAAAAAATAATGGTTCCCACACACTGCTGTCCTCGCAAAAAATGTTATGTTATGTTTTGGTCCTGAGACCTTCATCATCTCAGGACCAAAAGCATCTCTCTCTGGTCTCTCTCTGGTCTCTCTTTGGTCTCTCTTTAGTCTATCTCTAGACTCTCTAGTCTCTCTCTAGTCTTTCTCTGGTCTCTCTCTCTAGGCTCTCTTTAGTCTCTCTCTGGTCTCTCTCTAGTCTCTTTAGTCTCTCTCTGGTCTCTCTTTAGTCTCTCTCTGGTCTCTCTCTTGTCTCTCTTTAGTCTCTCTCTCTAGTCTCTCTCTGGTCTCTCTCTAGTCTCTCTTTACTCTCTCTCTCTGGTCTCTCTAGTCTCTCTTTAGTCTCTCTCTAGTCTCTCTCTCTGGTCTCTCTCTAGTCTCTCTTTAGTCTCTCTCTGGTCTCTCTCTCTGCAAAGACCGCAGTGTTCGGACACAGTAATCTGTAAATCCACAGCAATATTCACTGTTAAAGGTGCCTTATTTAGCTTCTCTTCATGTTTCACAGTCCATCCTAGTCACATGTGTGATAATAACTTGGGTGATACACAAACCACACTCAAAACCTGTCAAATTAAAGCCTAAAGTTTGAGGGAATCAATTAAAAAACTACCTTGGGCAAACAGCTGTGATCAGTTTAAACCAGAGAAAAGTCAGAAAGCCTAATATTGGACCTTTTAAGTTTACTCTCTTTCAAAAGTGGAAAGTCATGAACATAAAATATCACCATCGAGACAAGGAACTGGAGATGGTCTTTTCTGGTTGAATCAAGGTTAAACAGGATTTTAATACTGTACAATTTTTTTATTTGATTAAAACTGGGCAAAAATATTAAGAAAACAGTAAATAAAGTCATATATAAGTCATATAAAAGCTTTCATTATTTTACATAAAAAATCCTTCCACTGTTGCAAAGAAAATGTAAACTGCATATTATTATAACGATTAGTTGATAAGGTAATTATCCCTGCCTATAGGAATAATTACTCTGTCTGAGCACAACACAAATCTGGTTCTGTCTGTGTCCGTAGAGTGCCTGGTTCTGTCTGTGTCCGTAGAGCGCCTGGTTCTGTCTGTGTCCGTAGAGTGCCTGGTTCTGTATGTTTCCGTAAAGCGCCTGGTTCTGTCTGTGTCCGTAGAGCGCCTGGTTCTGTCTGTGTCCGTATAGTGCCTGGTTCTGTATGTTTCCGTAAAGCGCCTGGTTCTGTCTGTGTCCGTAGAGCGCCTGGTTCTGTCTGTGTCCGTAGAGTGCCTGGTTCTGTATGTTTCCGTAAAGCGCCTGGTTCTGTCTGTGTCCGTAGAGCGCCTGGTTCTGTCTGTGTCCGTAGAGTGCCTGGTTCTGTCTGTCCGTAGAGTGCCTGGTTCTGTGTCTGTAGAGTGCCTGGTTCTGTCTGTGTCTGTAGAGTGCCTGGTTCTGTGTCTGTAGAGTGCCTGGTTCTGTGTCTGTAGAGTGCCTGGGTCTGTCTGTGTCCGTAGAGTGCCTGGGTCTGTCTGTGTCCGTAGAGTGCCTGGTTCTGTCTGTGTCCGTAGAGCGCCTGGTTCTGTCTGTGTCCGTAGAGCGCCTGGTTCTGTCTGTGTCCGTAGAGTGCCTGGTTCTGTCTGTGTCCGTAGAGTGCCTGGTTCTGTGTCTGTAGAGTGCCTGGTTCTGTCTGTGTCCGTACAGTGCCTGGTTCTGTCTGTGTCTGTAGAGTGCCTGGGTCTGTCTGTGTCCGTAGAGTGCCTGGTTCTGTCTGTGTCCGTAGAGCGCCTGGTTCTGTCTGTGTCCGTAGAGCGCCTGGTTCTGTCTGTGTCCGTAGAGCGCCTGGTTCTGTCTGTGTCCGTAGAGCGCCTGGTTCTGTCTGTGTCCGTAGAGTGCCTGGTTCTGTATGTTTCCGTAAAGCGCCTGGTTCTGTCTGTGTCCGTAGAGCGCCTGGTTCTGTCTGTGTCCGTAGAGTGCCTGGTTCTGTATGTTTCCGTAAAGCGCCTGGTTCTGTCTGTGTCCGTAGAGCGCCTGGGTCTGTCTGTGTCCGTAGAGTGCCTGGTTCTGTCTGTGTCCGTAGAGTTCCTGGTTCTGTGTCCGTACAGTGCCTGGTTCTGTCTGTGTCCCTAGAGTGCCTGGTTCTGTCTGTGTCCGTACAGTGCCTGGTTCTGTCTGTGTCCGTACAGTGCCTGGTTCTGTCTGTGTCCGTACAGTTCCTGGTTCTGTCTGTGTCCGTACAGTGCCTGGTTCTGTCTGTCTCCGTAGAGTGCCTGGGTCTGTGTCCGTAGAGTTGTGCTGCAGCTTCTCTGTGTCAGATCCAATGGTGTAGGTTTGGTTCCAATCTTGGTGGGGACATTCACTACGACCTGAGTCTACACCCATTGACACGGGGTCCAGAGTTTCTCCCCCAGAATTTGTTGTGTAATCACACACTATATTTGCAATAGTGTGTTGCCTTCTATACTAAACTCAGCTGTAGACTGAATGAGAAGCAGTTAAGGATTTTTTCTAATAGTTAAAACAAAATCAATTGGATCAGAGCTTCTGAGTTTTGTGTTGCGTTCATTCTATACTGACTTAAACCTAATCCAAATCTACATAATAGCCCTCACCTGAGGCTCTAACAGTTCAGGATGTGCTCTCGATACTTGAAATAAATCATGCTCTGATCTTTCAATATCCTATAATAAATAAAAACAGAGGAGAAAATATTGAATTAGAATCTACAGTGAGTAGCTCACTACATTGTTGACGATCAATCTCTAAAAACAATTCATAGTCCCATGCATACCTACAAAATTCCAACCTCACCTGATGCACTGAAGGGCCTGTTGCTTCTACCTCAACATTCCCTATATTGTTCTCTCTTGTTGGTTGAGTTTCCTATGTATGTTAACAGAAGATTAATCATCACAATTCATAATTGGCTATTACTTGTGCTTTCTCTTACTTACTTTCCAACTGTTAAAAAAGCTCTTTATCTTTTTTTGTGGAGGTGGCATTTTTTCTAAATTATATAAGAAGGTATAGACAATCAAAAACAGACATTCATATACATGAACTGCAAAATCATTTATATAACTTGGCCAATGTAAAAAGTTACATAGTATTTCTCAATACAATGAGTTAACAAGAGTTTGGCAATAAGTAACAGTGTGGATTTTTCTATATTTTCTTTTTTTTATTCCACTCTCAACCCAAAAAGGCAAGTAATGACTCACAGGGCTCTCAAGTATGCAAAATAAAAACTTAAATGACCTGTTGTGTGTTTTGCGCACAACCAGCATGCATCGTTAACGCAATGGAAAATTTAGGTATCCAAGCTTTAATTTCGGGAGCGCTGGTTGCGCTTTGGGAAGAGTCAGGGGAGAGACATGTCAGAGACACAGGGGAGAAACGGGGGAGATACGAGGGAGACCCGCACTTGCAACATGGTTCTGTCTGCATATGGTCCGAGCTCGGTACCATGTTAGAGCGGTGCTTTCACTGAGCGCCGCGGCTGTCATTACAAAGTGGCAGCAGCTGCACCAGGACGTGCACATTCGAGTGCATCGCTTGAATGTGCTTAGAGCAAATAACAGCAAGTGCCCGCTGTCACACATTTCACAGAAATTACATTATCAGCAGATAAAGGTTGTAAATCGTGGATCCGTGGAATATTTTCATCCCTAGTTTATCCTAATTCACACAACACACCCACTTATACATTTTGGATAGTAAGAGCACAATAAGTATTTTTTCAGCCTTTCAACCAACCTGTTTCTTTATTGGAGCCAGTTCTGTTCTGTCTCTGTGCCGTGTGAGCTCCTCGGAACATTAAACAGTGCGCTGACAGATTAGAAATAACGTAAGTACTTTGAATGGTAATAGATCTACAGTACTTTCCTCTGATTACTCACAAGCTACAACGCTCAGGGAACGAAAAAAAACACTTGCTTCACGCTGGCTAACTTAAAAAAATTAAACAGTCGCTCAGTGCTTCAGTTTGGCGCTGAAGAAGACAGCCAATCACTGCAGAGAACGGAACGGGTCACGTGCTGCTGCTGCTGCTGTTGCTCTGGAGGCGAGGAGGAGGCGCGACGTATGCACGAACGGAAGACATGTGTCCCGGACCGTCCGGGTCACGGGACATCATGTCATTTTGGTGGGGACTTTTTAGTCCTCACCAAATATTGGTGGGGACATGTCCCCATGGTCCCCACGCAAACCTACGCCCTTGGTCAGATCTACTCTTGCCTCGAGGTCTTTCTCACTTCTTTCTTCAAAGGGTCAAACTAGGGTGAATCTTTCCCCTTTTATCTTTCCAACTAGTTTACAGTAAAACTCCAAAGGGAAGAAATATTATTGTGACTTTAAACGTATTGTAATGTTGACATTTGCTTTAGCATTGGTTTGTTTTTGTGTCTCAGATGATGAAGCACGCCTGGGACAGCTACAGACAGTACGGCTGGGGCCACAATGAGCTCAAACCTATCGCCAAGAAGGGACACTCCACCAATATCTTTGGTAAGTTTATTATTCTACAGCAGTTGGGTGATGTGTTTCCAGATAAATGTATATAAAAGCCAAGCCATTGTTCATTACGTATCTAATTATTTACAACTTGATCACATTGTATGGTTGTGTTTGCGTTTTCATTGTTAATATTATTGAAAACCGTAGCGGGAACACATCGATATGTCACCTTGTTTCAGGGGGTCCTTTTTGCAAACGCACAACATATGGAAGCGAGGGGTGGGCAAAATATATCATAGACAATAATATTGTGAAAGTTAATTTGAAGATATGCTTTTTTGTATTCTCGTCCTTTTTTTTTTTTCCAGTTATTTTTATTATCATTTTTTTCAACAGTTTTTACAACACATTTATATGTATAACATTTATATCACATAAATGTAATCGACAACACGAGACAAAACACAAAAGTGGAGAAAATTATAATAATAAAATAATATAAAAAAAAAAAAAAAAAAAAGTAAAAACCTGCACACATTCGAAGTTCTATGCAAAAAGAACAAAATATATATATAAAATCAAATTAAGAATGACGAGGTCCATCAAAACTTACTTATTATAATAATCAATAAAAGGCTGCCAAATTGAGTAGAATATTTGTTCTTTCTTTCTCAAAGAATACTTGATTTTTTCCAATTGTAAGAATTGCATTACGTCTCTAAGAAAGTTTTGATGGTAGGAGGCACGTTATTTTTCCAATTCAATAAAATTAAACGTCTGGCTAGCAATGTGACAAAACACATTATACTGGTCTGTGAGCTGTTCAAATGTATATCAGGAGACACAACACCAAATAGAAACATTATTGGATCTGCTGGGAGTCTAATATTGAAAATCACTGACAAAGTCTCAATTATTTTAGTCCAATAGAGGGTGATGTGAGGACAGTTCCAAAATGTATGTGACAACGAAGCAGGGGCATAGCCACAACGTTCACATGAGGCGTTCACTCCCGGGAACAGCCTGGACAGCCTTTGCTTGGAAAGATGCAATCGATGTAGAATCTTAAACTGCAGCAAACCGTGTCTGATACAAATTGAGGAGGAGTGGACCCGCTCTTGAGCTTCAATCCACTGGTCGTCTGTGATATTTATACCCAAGTCTTCACTCCAAGCATTTTTTATATGGTCAAGCGTAGTTGTACAATCCATCTGTGAAAAATTATTATATATTCTAGAAATAGATCCTTTCTTGAGCGGGTCGTTCACTAACACATGGTTCATAGGATCCATTTCAGGTTGATTAGGAAAAGAGGGAAATGTCGCCTTAGTAAAATTACGTATTTGTAAGTATTTGAAAAAATCTTTTATCAATTTTAAATTTGTGTTTTAATCTCTCAAATGTTGGAAATACTTTGTCAATAAAAAGGTCCAGAATTGTGTGCACTCCTTTAAGGCCCCATTGTAGAAATGCATGACCTGAAAATAATTTATGACCTTGATTTCCAATTATTGGTGTTAGGACCGAACAATGATTCCATTTAAAGTGTCTTCTGATTTGAGACCAAATTTTCAGTGAGTGAGACACAACAGGGTTGTGAGTTTTAAATTTAGAAAGATCAGAGGTGTAATGTATCAATGATTTCAATGTATTAGGAAAAAAGGCTTGATTTTCCATCCGTTCCCAATCAGGCCTGTGAAATCCATTCCAAAAAGAAATACATCGAATATTACAGGACCAATAGTAGAGCCGGAAATTGGGCAGACCCATTCCTCCTACAGGTTTGGGTCTTTGTAAAAAAGATTTTTTGATCCTTGGTGTCTTTTTATTCCAAATAAAGGACGTAACTAAAGAGTCTATTTTAGTAAAAAAACTCTTATTGATCAAAATTGGAACACACTGAAATAAAAATACATATTTTGGCAAAACATTCATTCTGATAATATTAATTCGGCCAGCAAGAGAGATCGGGAGATTAGACCATCTCTCAATCTGTTTCTCTGTTTGTTTATATAGGTTCACAAAGTTCTTACTGAAGAGGCCAGAGATCTCACGTGTGACATTTATTCCGAGATATTTAAAACAGTCTGAAACAGCGAAGGGAAAAGGAGTAAGCGTGTGTATTTGTGCTTTAGCTTTTGAGCTGATCGGAAATAATATGCTCTTTAGTAGGTTGATTTTATATCCTGACACCTTCCCAAAATCAGATAGCATGGTCATAATGTTTGGTAGAGACAGAGATGGATCAGAGATGTACAAAAGCAGATCATCTGCATACAAGGACACTTTATGCTCCCTGCCTCCTCTCAATCCCTTTATAATCACCTGCAGAGCGCAGCAATATAGCCAGAGGCTCTATGACCAGGGCAAACAGCAAAGGAGACAGGGGGCAGCCCTGTCGTGTTGAGCGTTGGAGAGGAAAAGAGCAGGAATCCATATTATTTGTATGAACTAGAGGTGCAACGGTTCATCACTGATCCGTGATCCGTTCGGTTCAACGTCTTCGGTTCGGTACAGACGTGATCCGCGGTTTGATTTATGAAAAAAAAGTTGTGCGCACGTTGTTCAGTCCACACACAGCGCGGTCATTGCGAGCGGAGGAACGGAGATGCTTGAAAGCCCCGCGTCATTTAAATCCCCAGTATGAGAGCATTTTGGCTTCACTGTAACTACACTGATGATTCATATTCGACAAAACTGTCACAGTGTGTAAGCACTGTGGACCAAGAAAGACATGAGTGAAAAAAGCGTCTCAACGACCGCTTATTGTCGCGGCATTTAAGCAGCTCCTTTACGCACAGTCAGACCGGGCTAAAGTCCACTCTCCCGCGCATCCTCAGCTGCGTTCACGACTGACGTTTGGACGTCCCGCGGAACCTATAATAGATCCATGAGCGGAACCGCTCAGTTCATCACCGCAGACTGGG